ATATACAACATAATGTATATCTAATACATAATGATATTGTATAATGTGATATATAATATTATATTGTATTACAACACAGATTATGTGTTATATTATTAGATTAGATATAAGATATTAGATAGATATAAGATAGCTTACCAAGATCTTTAGGCTCTTGGTCACTCAGTGAAAGGTTTGTACCACCCTTCTGGATTGGTGCAGTGATTGATGGTTGAACATTTGTACAATGAGGAATGCAATGCCATAGGGTCGGAAGGAGAAGAGGCAAAAAGGATTTATTTTTGTTTCTAACCAGAGATGGAGTGATGTAAACTCCATATACATTTTACGGAGAATGCTAGGAATACTTGAACTGCACCCACCTAGCTGGGTGCTCTTCCTACAAGACAAAAAACAACCAACTCTTTTCCAGTGTTCCTCTTAACAAACTCCGACCTTGCTCTGGCTGCAGCCCTGATAGCTCCGTAATTTGAGTTTAACAAAAAGAGTGCAGACCACTTCAATTACCTTTACCATTACTATAAGTGCCTTTTTCTGAGATGAGTTTTTGGGCTGATAGTTTACCCTGGACTGATCCAGCACTAAGTCTCAGCACTAAAATCAGACAGGAGTACTCATGAGCATTCATGGCCTCTCAAAGTGGCTTTCAGTGAAAATAGACATACCCTTATTCAGTTTGATAATTTAAAGCAATATGGGAAAGCAGATGGGACTGTGGAATTTTACTGTGTGTTCATTGCGGAGGGATAGAGTAGGCTTTTTGTTACTTAAGACGCTGTCTTCTAGCACCAAAAGTAAAATTACATTCAAGGTCAGTAGGACACAGTTAACCTTGCAGCACATGCTGAACTTGTGTTTACAGTCGTGTGTGACAGAGAGAAATAGTAGACAAGAAAAATATTTTTTTATAGAGCAGTTGTCCTTTTCCAGCATCCCAAAAGTACAAAAATCGATAAAACAATGCATCAGATCAGACATCATTTACATTTCTATTTTTGCACAAGTAGAGTCAGAGTTAAATGATTCTAATCAATGGATTCCACCACAACAGTACTTGTGCCATTGTACGTGTATATATCTGCTCCCTCAGTTACTGTCATGAACTACTAAACAAATCCATTCAGTAAGTGACTTTGAAGAAAATGTTAACTGGAAAGTTATTTCATAAAACAAGTTGCCATAAAATTATTTTGAGAGATAAGTCACTGTTTTTATCAGTTGCGTTTATAAAATACACGTTCACCACACAGTTAAATGTTTGTCTTTATAGTTTAGTTGGTCATTGGAAACTTTAAGGTGAATTTTGAGAATTGAGCTATAAATGTAACATTTTAAAATTAGGCTATAAATATTTCACTAGTCTTTTAAGAAATCAAAAGACTGAGTGTGCTGTTCATGTCAGAAAAGCTGGAAGAACTTAAGCTGTAAGTGAAGAGTTTTTTCCTTTTTTTTCCTCGAAAAGCAGCTAGTATACCTTTAGATGTATTCTTTTACTGTATACAAATGTGGTACATGTTGCTATTTAATGGTATTGTAGTTCAACAGTTCCCGTGTAAACTAGATGCTACAACTGTTCCTTAAGAAGAGACAGTAATTGTGTGATCAATTTTGTATTATAATCCATGTGCTTGTGTATTTCTTGCTATTTACCATTAGGCAACAGCAAATAACTGTATTCCACAAAGAGTACCTATTATAATTTATCAATGATATCCACAGAAATATACCATCAAAGAAAATATCGTCTATTTGTTTGCAAGTTAGTGGAGAAACTTTTTTTATCTCATTTCCCCAGAGTTATATAAGGGGCATTATCAAAAGAAGCTGCACATAGATTTAAATATCTGGGCCAGATTTCCATTCCAGCCTTGCATAAGCTTCTTCCCACATGGCTTTTCTCGCTTAATATTTCAGCAATTACAAGTTTTCATTTCCCTTCTATATGTGCAGGGATGTGACTTAACCAATTTAAATGGATTCTGTGTATATCTGGTTGACACTTGCACAGAAAAAGCAAGGAAACAAAACGGGTCCAAATTTCCCAGCATTAATTCTGAGTTGTTCCTGAGAGAGAGATAGAGTTCCTCGTTGCTTGCAAATTTGCGTAGCCGGAGTCAAACTAACACAGTAAGAATGTGACATTCATGGTATTTTCACCATGTAGCGATACGATTCTAGATGGAGCTGCAAGGAACATTTGTTTCCATTAATACATGAATGACAGATAATAATAATCAATCTTCTTGCTTGATTTCAGAACACTCTCAGAAAATGACAGTACCTCTTTACCACCTGCTGACTCCTGCACCAGTCCTACTAAAATGGATTTGTCATTCAGTAAGACTGCCAAACAGTGCCTAGAGGAGATATCTGGTGAGTAACAATAAATCAGGAGAAGCCTGTGAACTTCTTTATTTACATCTGTTTCTTACCAGGAGCTTTGCAATGGGTTGAAATAATACTTCTGACCTTTATTCATGGGTGGTATTAAATATGCAGAAAATTTGGGTCATGCACAGTTAGTGTTTCAGATTCACAGTTCTCTTGCCTGAACTGGCTCTTTCTGTTCAAATATCCTCTTCATCATTTTGCAGAAGCTGGGCTTTCACAAGCTAGGGTTTCAAGTCATTATTATTTTTTAGTCATACTGAATGTTCCAAGAGGAGCAGTGGAAAGTCGACTTCAGAATATTTGATACTGTTGCACTTAAGATCATCAAATTAAATCATAACATCAGAACTAAGACATAAATTATGTAAGATATATTTTGATTTTATAAATGAATATATATTCAGAAAATGGACAAGTCCTTACTAGTGTACCTGACTTTTAAGCTGCTGCTGGAGTTAGGCTGCTAAAGGTTGTGTTCTGGAATTCCTTGTAAACCTGGAGTAATGTTCTCATTAGGTTACAAATGTGAGGGGGGGTTTTTTAATCATATTGGAATAATTCCTTTGAAGTCAACAGAGTCATGCTGATTTACATCAGTCCAGGATCTGACCATAACTCTGCCTATGGATGCAAAAAGCTAAGTGTGTCACAGCTGACTTGCTCATCAGGACTGAATTGCACTGCAGGGTTGTGTGGGAGTGCTTTCAAAGGCACTCTTCACCAAAGCTGTTTTATTGGGGTTTTGGGGTTTATTTTTTTGTTGGTTTGGTTTTTTTATTAGCATCCTTACTCTTATTATCATTTTTATGAGAATAAAAGGTGAAATCCTGTCCCATCGGATTCACCTCTAGTTTTGCCCTTTTACTCCAAATTTTTAACATTCAAAGGGATTTATAATGAGCCATGTGGTTCTTCTTACACAGGAAATAACTCACTCAAAGTACTAATTTGACACATCAGTCTAAAATTATCTCTCCACCAGAAGGGAAATCAGATGCCCAAGTTTTGTGGGACTGCCTTGGCATTTAGCTGACTCATACTGAAATTGAGGTTTTGTCCTGGTTTGTCGCAGTCCCTTTGGAAGTTTTCTGAGTCTGACATCTCTTATTTGCACAGCCAGCTTTTGTGATAAATATGTCACCCTGAAACATAGTGAAATATTCCCTGGAGGTGACGCATGCCTGTTAAAATTAAAGCAAAAAATTATTTTTAATTAATCCGGAAATCAGACTTATTGGTCTTGCATGTATAAAGAGTATAATTGAAACACTTACACAAATCGAAAGATGCTTCAAGGAATTATCCACAGAGATGCTAAAAAAAAATGTCAGTTTAGTACCTGCTGAAATGATCAAACAGGATATCGCGTCTCCTGGCCTTTTACTGTTCTGAACAGAAATGGAACAGCATCTATAAGAAGAAAATGGCATAAAAGGCACTAGACATCAGAGATGTTTCTCGTCTGATTATTCAGACTGTCATTAACAGTTGACTGACATAACAGACAGCAAAGCAGAACCACTGGGAAAATGTGGTCAATGGTTTGTTGTATACAGAGGAAAACCGATGTGTGTCACCCATAATTGGCTATTAGCAGCAAAAAGAATGAAAGGATCAAGTACTACATTTTACAGAATCACAGAGTGGTCAGGGTGGGAAGGGCCCTCTGGAGATCACCCAGTTCCCTCAGCCTTTCCTCATAAGGGAGATGCTCCAGTCCCCTCATCATCTTTGTTGTCCTCTGCTGGACTTTCTCCAGTAGTTCCTTGTCTTTTTTGAACTGGGGAGCCCAGAACTGGACACGGTACTCCAGATGTGGCCTGAATTGCTGAATAAATAGTGGTTTGCTGTTTGCTGAATAAATAATTGTCTGCTTCGGTGAACTATCACCAAGTCATTGGTGATTCTGTCATTGGTGAACCTGCATGGAAAAAAAACTCATGTGACGGCTGTTCAGGGGAGTATTCCATGATGGATTAGCCATGAGAAAGGACAATTAAATTCTATTACTTAGGAGCATCTTTATTCTGGTATGATCAAGTAGGCAGCAAGGAGATATGCAAGGGTTATTTCCTTGTTCTGGTCACTTGTATTCAGGGTATTAAGAGAGTAATCCAGAGTTTCTTTCACTTTGATACTACCTTTTTCCTGAAATCTTCCACTGCTGCTATGGGTGGGTATCATCTTTATGTTATCTCAAGCTTCTTTTGCAACTTGGTACCCAAACACACTAGCGCAATATATTGGTATGCAGTAAGGATCAATAAGGATTGTGCAAAGGACTCAGCATCTGTGGAAACCACTGAACAGCTTGTAGGAGTGCGTTCATAAAGTGATGTCCACCTGTATTGTGTTTCTGCTTTATTAGTCTTTATTATTTTTACAGTGCCAGACATTTACAACTGGGGCTAACATGCTCAGGACTAAAATATCTTAGCCTGTATCATTGTATAAACTGTTTCTCTACTTTCAGAATATTTACACACTCGTGTTTGTTATTGTGTCTTGGCTGAAGATTACTGTTCCCTTAACCAGCCAAGCAGATCATATCAGAGCTCCTAATCCACTTCAGGGCAAAATCAGCCAATTAATCTGAAACTGTAAGCATGACTGGTTCAAGACTTTTCCAAAATATAGGCAAAACTTGGATGTGGAAAAAATAATTTTAAACATATTTAGGAGTGGTGGGCGAGGCACCATTCTCGTTGAGTGATTCAGGATACGAAAACAAAGGTAATTTCCTTGCTTTAGGAAGGGGAAAAGTCAGGGCACAAGCCACTTCTTTCCTGCTCACTACTCTGCAAGTGATCACTTGGGTTTACTTGCACAGCCATGAGAGGAGGATGGTGCTGGAAGGCGATGGTGATGGTGAGACTGGTGTAGGCATGGACCCAGAAGTGTGGCCCTGGTAAACTGCACAACCTCTTTATTTTTAGCTTGTCCCCATATATCTGCTGCCCTAGGTAATTTCCCACATGGCTAACGCCTAAAGCCAGTTCTGCCTCTTGGTAGAGCTACTGTAAATCTGGGTTTCTTCACTGTTCCTCCGTCTCTGCTGGGAATTTGTTCCAGATGTGATCTGAAGTGCTTCAGACTTTTTTTCCTACTTTTTTTTTTTTTTCCCCTCCAAGTATTCCACAGCTCAACCAGAGCAGTCCCAGATGTTTCCAGGGTGCACATGCAGATCAGCAGTACAGCACGTGTGCGGTAGTTGTAGGCTTCCTGCACACCTTGGATCCCCTCTGCGTGCCTGGTGCCAGTGATACCTGTACGCACGCTGAACGAGTCCCGTTTGTAGGCACCGGTCACCTGTGCGGTACTTTTGGTGTGTCCTGCGAACGGTAGACTCGTTGCGCATGTGGCACACAGATGTGTAGTCTTCTGTCCAGGAAATCCCAGACAGAAATTTGGGAGTCCTAAATAAGGACCAGTTCTGCAGTCATGTATGAACACTCTAGCGTGTGCTTTATGTTCCAGCTGCGTCAACAAGACTACTCAGTATCTATATTTCTGCAGAACTGGAGTATAGCTTTGTAGACAGGATTTTAAAATGAGAGTGAAAAGAAAGGCTAATAAAGTAATCCTGTTTGGCTCTTGTTTTTCATTGTATGACTAGGAAGAAGTTGTTCAGACTTTCTTACCCAGTATTTCTACTTGTAGTAGCTGTGACATTTATCAGTCTCTGCTGCAAGTTTATTGGAGAAGGATGTCAGTAAGTTAATTATTTAATAATCTGTTGTAAACCGCACATGTCAGTAACTACAAAGTATTATTTTATGGAATCAGTGATAGTGTTTGGCTTTAACAAGTGTTTACATGTTCAAAGAGCTTAATGCAAAGTGTTCGATTAAATAATTATTCATGAATTTACAAATATTGACTAATTATAAAAAATCTGAGGGATGAAGCAGAAATGCAAGAGTCATTTTAAGAGTTATAGGCCAATATCAATGGCAGGATTAGCATAAAAACATTCAATTTTCAAGCTTTTATGTTTATTGTGCTTCATATTTTGCTCTCTGAAATAAATAGTTCATAGTTGTAGAAATAGTTTACAATTTTTTTTCAAGTAAGCTTAGCTGAAGAGATTCATAATCTTATGCATTTTTGCAGATCTATTGCATAATTCATTTGTAAGGCTCCAAACTATGCACTGAGACTTCAAAGAAAGTCTTATCTGACAGCAAAATTTGTCCCTAGATTATTAGTCCTTAAAATCATTTTTATAATTCCTTTTATGAAAGAGACAGTAAAAATAAGGTAATATGTTACACTGACTGTGATGGATTGGGGAAGTTCCCTCTGCTCTTCTTAATTTAAACAGATTCCTGCGTGCTGGGTGGGGAATACATTTGGATTGCAAGGTAGTTGGGGAATAATGCTCTGTCATGACGTTTGCTCTCCTCTGGTCTCCTATACTGTCATCTTAATTTAGAAAGATGTATTTGCTTGTGGTTATATTTCATCATTTTAAAATGGAGGGATGAGCTTTGCAAAATTATTTTTCAGTGAATAAACCTGAGAATTTTTCACGTTGCAATTTTATGTTTTGTTGAACGACACCTTGCAGAGAGATGTGATAAAGCAGAAGGATAAATTCAGTGTTCTTTCTGCTGGGCACTTGGTCTGAGATGTACATATGTATCTGCTATATCTGAGGATAATCATCATGGCCTGCCTACCAAGTGAGGCAATGGGATTAGTGGGAGAAAATTTCATATACCCTTGTAATTAAGGGCTGTAGTATAGTGTTTGTACACACGAAGGCAGAACGAAGGTTGTGTGGTTAACCTCAGTACCTCCATATCCCAGCATTTAACTCATTGTGTTTTTAATGTATGTTGAAAAGGAAATGAGACAGACGGATGCTGGAGCTGCTAGCTACCATCACGTGGCTCCCTCACAGTTCAGGTGTCATTCCGTGCCTGGATGATGGTTCAGAACGTGTTCTGCTGGAGCTGGGCTGCAGTGAATAGCTCAAG